TTATATTTTTAGTCATAGGAAGGTTGGACATTTGGCTTGAGGTTACTAGCGTAGAGAGAGATAATGGATTTGTTGGCTAATTATGCCCATCAAAGTAGGCAAAATCATGTGGGAATTGCCTACTTCATTTGGTTAATGCTCTAAACTTGGGATTTGCCTAGCACTTACTAATAAAGTCTTCCTCTACTCTAAAAAATGTCATTATCAATATTACCATTTTCATTCAACCATGAGTGCATTACATGATTTTCCAAAGTCTTAATATTCTTTTCCTATCCAAAAATCATACCATCAAATATGTTTTGTTGCTATAAAACACCTTTATTTAATTGTCAAAAGATGCTTTGTCATTATTGATGTGACACTTTACCGTAAACCTTTTTTTACTTTTTATTGTATTTGTAAGATTATATAGATGACATGACACCCAAAAAAAATTTAATCAAATTAATATTTATTAATTTAAAATTTTAAAATGGGAGGACTGTATATTAATGGTATCATGTAATGAGTAAAGAAGACATAAATCATTACATGAATGAAGAATCAAAGGTGGGTGGGGTGTCCAAAGTGAAGTGCCTGAGTCAATGAACCAATTGTGTCTATCCATATACTCAAACTCAACTTATTGTTTAGAGACTCTGAATTGAGATTGAATCCAGGCAAGCAGAGAGGGATGAAGATGACTTCCACTCTTGGTAGATATGGGGAAAAGATGTGGGGGCCATAAGGCAGGCTGACATTGACAACGTGGGACCCACCATTGGCAAGTAGCATTCTGCCACCTATAGGACTTTAAGATGAATGCATTGGTGGGGCCCAAGGAGGAGGGTTAAAGGATGAGATAAGAGCACGAGGAAGGTTTTTTGAGATAAGACTTTTGTAATTTATAAGTGACACGAATCCCATGCATTGAGAAAGACTTTTTAGGCTCTTTGGGAATAAAAACGAAAAAAAGAAAAGGCAGCAGCTTCGTTGTAACGTTTGCTTGCCTTTGGAATACAAATGACAATCTCCTTACGAATTATTTCTTTTGTAGGGTCCACCACCTCCACCATGGGGACCCAAAAGATAAAATCAGCGGAATTGGTGGGACAAGGTTGTGACCACACACAACAATAGGCAGAAGGTGCAAATTGAGCCCCTGTACTTGTATTGTTGTGGCAAGTCAGTCCCTGTACTTTATATTATGGCAAATCAGCCCCTCTACTTCATGAAATCCGCATAACAGTCCTTTTAGTTAAACTGACGTCATCCAAACGTTAAACCCTTCAATTGCCCGTTTAAG